TCAGTTTTTAGAAATACAAATGGTTTTACATTTGCATGTCATCCTTGGGCAGGGGCCATGCTAGCTTTCTCTGTACTGTTCCTATTTTAGAATATGTGCTGCCTACGTGGGTACTTTACTGTTACATTCTGAGTCTGGCTATGTTGCCCAGATTAGCCTTGAGCTCCTGGGTTCAAGTTCTCTCTTTGCGTCAGCTGCCCAAGGAGCCAGAACCACAAGTGTGCACTGCTGTACCGCGCTTTAATAGACACTGTTCATCCACAGTGCAACCTATGAAAACGAGGGGCAAGGGGCGCACGCCTTTATCCCCACACTCGGGAGGTAGAGGCGGTGGATCTCTGGGAGTTCAAGGTCAGCCTGGTCTACAGAGTGAGTTCCAGGAGAGCCAGGGCTACATAATAGAGGGGGACCCTCCTCAAGAAACCAAAAAACAAAACAAAGCAAAAAACAGAAACAAAACCAAAGAGATGATATTATAGCTACTTACTGAGAAGTTTCTTTCATTGTAAACACAAAGTGCTCGTGGAAGATGTTGATGCGGAATACACACAAAGGGAGAAAGAAAGCACACCCCCTCTTTGACATCCCGGAGGCTTTGCTGGATGCAGTTCAGGTTCCAGGCAGGTGTCTACAAGAACTGCACAGCAGCCACCAGCTCCTACAGCTGCCAGAAATAGCCTGGCTGGAGAGGTGTGTCCCCACCCCGGCCCTCAGGACATTGCCAGCCGTAGAGAAGAGGAGGAAGGAGCAGGAGGATCAGGGGCTCAGGGCCGTTCTGAGCTACCCACCTAATTGGAGGCCAGCCTGGGATATCTAAGACGCTATCTCAAAAAAAAAAAAAAAACGCAGGAAGGCTGAAAATCCCAGCTGCTGCCAGGAAGAGGAATTAGCATGGAGGTCAGAGGACCAGTGAGAAGCCCAGCATGTCAGGGAAAGCTATATTTAGGCTTTAGCCAGAATCAGAGAGAGAGAGAGAGAGAGAGAGAGAGAGAGAGAGAGAGAGAGAGAGAGAGAGAGCATGCTTAGTCCCAGACTGTGTATCAGAGTTCAAAGGACACCAAAGGTCTGCACCAGGCATAGTTGGCTAGAAACAGAAATAGACATTTAAAGGGGATGGGGAACCTCCTGGGATAGAAGTAAGCTAGTGACCTGAAAGCCCTTAAAGCCAAGAGCTTGTTTTTCTTAAAACTGGCCGGGTGTAACACCCGAAGAGGGCAGGCCGAGGGGGAAGAACTGTGAGCAGGAGGCCAGCCTGGGCTACCTCGCAAGACTGTCTCGGAAAAACTAAAACAAAAGCCTCCTAGGGCCGCTGAGTGGCTTTCATCTTGTGAGATCTAAGAGAACCCAGGTTTATAAGTCCTCCTGTGAGACACACCCACAGGAAGCCCATGGAGAAGACTCTTCCCCTTAAGCAGGCCTTCTCAGTAAGGGATTTCAAGTAACTAAGAGACGTTTCTCAGAAACTGCTGTGATTTTATTCTGAGTGCCCATGTGAACATTTCCGAGGTTTCTGGGTTTTCCATTGACTTCAACCTTCAGCAAGAGTGGCTGGTGCTCCTAACCACTGAGCCACCTTTCCTGATCCAGATTTAATGCATTTTATTTGTGTGTGTGTGTGTGTGTGTGTGTGTGTGTGTGTGTGTCCACCACAAATATGCAGGTCCCCAAAGTGGCCAGGAGAGCTGGGAACAGAACTTAGAGAAATTCCTAGAAATTTTCAGAATCAAAACTTCTGTCTTCTGTGGCTTGGGTGAGATCCAACTCAGATGCTCAGGTTGGCCTCTTAGGCTGCTGGTCTTTCTGTGGCTCCATATGACGGAGCCCTGCGATCCAGAGTGGAATTGAAGGTTTTTTGTTTTTTTTTTTAAGTCCATAAAGTGTGTACAAAATAAGCAGCTAGCAAGGAGCAATCTGATGACTCAAGTCCAGAGTTGAAAGGGAGCCCTGATTCTGCCCCTTCCTCTCTGTGACCAGCATTAAGTTTAAGGGGTGATTTCTGTCCCTCCTCTCCGCCATCTCTCGCTCTGCCTTCTTCAGTGTCACCCCTGAAAGTACCCGGGCCACACACCTTTGCCTGTGGGACCAGACTTGCGTTTGGCTCAGCTGTTGGCCTCATCTTACACGGGAACATGACATGCCAAACAAGGAGCTGGGGACTTGCTGGAGTGCGCGATGCAGATAGGAATGCGTATGGCCTGCAGAAGAGGCCCATCAAGGTCACCAACAGCTATGGGACCTGAGCCTTGGGGAGGAAAAGACCTAAGTTTTGGGTCTAACTCCGCCTCCTAACCAGCCTGTGTATCCTGGACCACTCTTTACCTGAATGAGCGAGCCTCTGTGGCCCCACCTTGAAGTGTGTGAAGGGTTTACCTGGAAGCATCCCCAGGCCGAGGCAGAGTAGCTGCTTATAAACAACACCGAGAGGAATTGGTGTATGGCAGCCATATTATTAGGTAGCTTTATGTATATTTTAGGAGACTTGGAATAGAACCAGGGCTTGGGTGTACTGGGAATGATTTCTACTATTGGACTACACCTCCAACCCTTAGGAATGGATTCTGGTATATCGGCTCTACTGAAAAGGATCTGTAGACTTCTTGATAACCAACGGGGCAGATGATGCAATAACTACTGTTGCTAAAATCCCTTCCTTAGGAGAGCGTAAAGCAGTGTCTGCCCCTCCTCTCAGGGTTCCAACCACAAACCCAAACCAAGGCCGCAGGAGTCTGGTGAAGTTCACTCTGGGGACCAGCTAATTATTGGGCTTCCCTACCAAGCCTAGGGGAAGGGTACTTAAAGGGATGTGGACATGCGGCCCCCAACCAGCTACACCTGGAAAGGCTTACTGCACACCAATGAGGGTTTCCACCCAATATGTATATATGTAAATATGGATTCCCCATGTACTCTAGCCCCTCCCCCAGGCCACAGCAGTTTGCCAGGTAGTAGAGAGTAGGTAGATACTCAGGTGAGAATCTCAGGTCTGACTCTGGGCCTCTGCTGGGGTGGGAATGTCAGCCAGTCCCTTTGGGATGAGCATTTGTAAAAGGGCACACAGCTTAGCTCCCCAAGACAATGCTTGCATAGCTCATTCACACCCACAGTATCAGTGCTTCAGAATCTTACCTCAGCTCTGGGGGCCAGCACAGAGACCGTCGAGCTGGCCACCCATCTGTGGAGACGCTCAGGCGGTGATATCCCTGCTATTGGAATTCTGAGGGTGAAATCAGCCTTGCCCTCATAAGCTAGATCCACCCAGGGAACCACCCACTGCCATACACCAGTCTGGAACTGGCACTATGGATCCCCCACCCCACCTCCAACCCCAAGCTCATGGTGGAAGCCTAGGGTTTATATCACTCTCCAGCCCATCATCATCCCAGAAAGTTCATGTAACTTTCTGAGACACACATCAGATCTTCCAAACTTTGAGAACAGGACTCTAACAGCCTGTTGCAGAGACACAATTGTGTTCTGCTAAATACATGTGTTGAGGGAGGGCAGGTAGCTTTCCTCCTCCGGTTTGCATTTCCTTCATTGCTTACTGGCCACAGGCTCCTGTGTGCCCTGATTCAATGTCTCCATCACTTAAAAACCGAAGGGTTATCGATGAGACACTGTGGGAGAGCACTTAGCTAGCTAGCATGCTCGAGCCCTAGGTTTGAGCCTTAGAACCTCAGGAGGAAAATGAAACAAAAACCTTATTGGGCAACCCAGAACTTCAAAATCCACACCGGAATGTAAGTGTCCTGCTAGATTTTATTTTTATTTATTTTTGAGACAGTTTTACTGCATTAAGTCCGGGCTAGCTTTGGATATTCCCTCAAGGACACTGGAAAGCTTTACTGATCTTGGTATTTTCTCGACCAGTGGTGTGAGCATTTTGTGATCTTATGACCTCCTCCCCACAGTAAGATGTCTATGCAGCTTTGTACCATCACTACCAACGTGTCAAAGTCATGTGCGTGCTGGGATGCAGTCTACCAACTGGGCCACACTCCCAGAACCAATTTCTTCAGTTCTGCGTTTTCACCCAGGGCCCCGGGGCTCTGCCCTGCCCCATCCCACTTAGTCCTCACACAGCTCAGTGCCCCCCAAAAACGCGTGGCCCCTGCCGTGGGACCTGCACCTTCCCACTGATCTGCCTTCAAAAATAAAAAGAATGCTTCACAGCAGAGACTTCCAGCAACTGCACCTTCTGTCTCCGAGAATCGCCATCTGTCTCCCTCTTCCGAAGCAAACCCCCGCCCCCGCCCCATTGTCCCGTGTCCACCCCACCCCCTCTTCTGGAGAGTGCAGAGCTCCTGGCTTTCCCCACTACCCACAGCAGCCTGGCCACTCCAGGGGACACATGGAGTCTCAAGGGAAGAAAGGCTGCCGAGGGGCCTTTCCAGGGTCCAGGTGGGAACAGTGCTACCCACTCCAGGATTGTCTGAGCTGAGGCCTTGGCCCGGAGCTTCCCTTCCCCCAGCCTATTCTCACCCACAAGCATCATGGCCGCTTTTCAGTTTCGAACACAGAGATGACTGGGTCTGTCTTCTTCAAGAGCCTTTCAAGTCGGGGACAGACTCAGCCATCTGATAACCAAGTGTTCAGGGTGGCTCTCAGGATGCCGCTGCCACCTCCACGGTCCAGTAAGTGACTAAGTAGTGGGCCTTACCTCTCTTAATTCAGATTGTTGTGAACACGGCAGACACATGAGCCTCCTTCCGGAAACCCCAGGGCTTGGTTGGGTGAAAACTTTTATTAACTGAATGAAGCCTTTTGTGAAATTGTTACTCTGTGTGTGAGTGTTAAGTGAAACATGGTCTCACTGGCTTCAAATTTGGAGAGATCACCCTGCCTATGCTTTCCTAGTGTCAGGATTATAGGAGTGAGCCACGATGCCCCCTCAAAAATAGTCCTACTTAATTATTTAGCCTTCCTCACTCTGTACTCCCCATTAATTCCATGAGGTTTTCCTTATAGTGAAAATGTTCCCAAAGCAAAAACACATCAAGTGCAGTTTAGGAAGTATTTATTTTAAACAGTTACAGTTTTCACTTTAAAGCAAACAGTGGTTCCCCAAAACAGCGATGAAAAAAACATATTATAAAACTTTGAAAAACATAGTATATGCTTGCAAAAACAGCTTAGGTATCTGCTTGCAAATAACAAAGGGGTAAAAACCTTAAAAACATTGTCTCAAAAACAAAAACATGTAGCGTTGAGGTATTCTGCTTAACGGATATGACTCTAGCCAAGAAAGTCTGTCCATTCCAGCTTGCTACACACTGTACCAGCCCTTTCCCTGCAAACCAGCTCTCCATCTGAGCATATGTTCACAAAACTGACAGTGCTCCTAATAAGCATTAAGGTTGTCATAGAAACTCCCTGGAATTGGCACACAACCACACTGGGACTAATAGGTGGAATGACCTTTGGCAGGCTATCCCCAGCACCAGCCCTAGGACCTGAGTTAGCTAGCCTGCCTCCTCCAGCCACAGCTTCACTGTGGGCTGTAGCATGGAAAAGGTTCTTGGGATGACTTGTCTCTCCAAATGAAGATAGGTTTCTTCACCTGCAGTTGAATGTGGGAACCCTCCCCAGCTGGGTCAGCCTACTAGGAACTGCTAGATTGGGTGAGTGGGTGGGGGGACCTAGGCAAGCCAAGCATTCCTTATATCTGCATAGCATGGCCAACCCTGGCCCATCCTGCTGGGCTCTGCTCCACACTGGCTCCAACCTAATTCCAGCAGTACACCCCACACCCGTTTCCTTTCTCCCAAGACATCAGGGATGTGGCAAAGACTCAATGTTAGCATACAGCCAGTCGGGAAGCTGCAAAGACAATGCCCACAGAGAGAAAAGCATTCTGTCGCCAGATGTCTCAGGTGCACAGCCAATGCTACTCCCTTGAAATGTTTTCAAGCTATTTGCTAATGCCATAAGAACCAAAGATCACTTTAGAACTTGAGCAGCCAGTAAGCGCTCTATTTTCCCTGCTGTGCAGTAAAGGTTGTGTTTAAACCATCTGTCTAAACCCCCCACATCTGGCTGCCCGTTTGCTAACTGCAGGTGTGCAGGGAGTGACGACACTGCCTGTGGGCTGTAGAAACTCCAGTCAGAATGACCCAAGGATGGAGACACATTCAGCAATCACAGATTTGAGGCCAGAAGCAGCAGGGGGCCTCTCCCTGTGTGCCCTGAGCAAAGCTGGGGATCAGAGGAAACAGATGTCATTGACATTAGCTTATTAAAAGTCAAAAGGAAAATGCATCCTTTGATATGGGGGGGGGGGGGTTATCCTGTCATAATAATAGTGAAAGCAATAACAACTTGGAGATCAAAGCTATTTAGCGTTCAGAGATAATGAGCTATCTGGATTTCAATCTTCCACTGGCTTGCCCTGCCTGGCTGTGGTAACCGGCATGTAGGCAAAGCCATGTGAAGAACTGAACAATTAATTGTGCTAGGCACAGTCACCTGTCACCTGCAGAACACTTTCACAGCATTTTTGCTACTCGTGAGTCCCAGAAACTTAACAAAGAAGGAAAGAAAAAAAGAAAAAAAAAAAAAAAGGCCATGAATACCTGCCTGGTTTCTTGTCAACTTACAAACCTTTTTTCTAAGACAGCAACAGGCTCTGAAACATACAAAGCCTGGAAAGAAAATAACCACCTGCTTAAGACAGGGCACCGTGGAGCTGTGGGCAGACAGCAGGATAGCTTCTGATAGCTTCCAGCTCCACCTCCTGTCCAGTGGTGGTAGCATTTTCCAAAAAGTAAGCTACTAGGGAAGTGTTGGGATTGGGTAAATGTGGGGATTAATGACACTCTGTGGCCTCCCTGGAGACCACTAACACCACTGAATTCTCAAAGCCCCAGGGGAAAGCGACTGAGGTGTCCAGTGCTTCTCTGGGGACTGAAAAGTCTGTAAAGTGAGGAAGGCCAACGTGCCAGTGAGGTGTACAGGAAGCGGACACCCTCCCTTCCTAAGCCTGGCGAGCATTCACTCCCTGAAGCTGAGCACAGACTATTTTTATACTTTTTAAGACAAAAAACAAGATACAGAACGAAACCAAAGTCTTTTGTGTTACAGAAAAACAGTCATTTTTCTCGATTTTCACTTGACTTGGCTTCTGTGCTAAACGTTACTGTGCCCGCCCCCTCCCCCAGTGGTTCTTACGCCAGCCAGCACACAGTGAGTGCTAGAGAGGCAAGTTTCCTTTTTGGTTGGTTGGTTGGTTTTTCCAGACAGAGTTTCTCGGTGTAGCTTTGGAGCCTGTCCTGGAACTCGGTGGACTAGGCTGGGCTTGAACTCACAGAGATCTGCCTGCCTCTGCCTCTTGAGTGCTGGGATTAAAGGTGTGCATCATCACCACCACCACCTGGCTCAGGCAACAGCTTTGTAAACAGCTAAATGAAAATGCATTCTTGCTAATTCAGTTTTCCTTTCACATGAACATCACTCAGGTCCAGTTGAAGCCAATATGGGCAAGGCTGGAGTAAAGTAGTTATACTCTCTGCCGTGGCAGAGGTCCTCGCTAACACCATCCCTCCCCTGGGAGGGTGGGAGGGAACAGAAAAACGTGTTTTCAGGGGCTGTGTCCCCTCAACTACAACAGGGACAGTGGACCCCTGCCCTTGCCTACTTCCATCCTGCTCCTCTTGAAGTCCTGAGATCAAAGAAGAAAATAAAACTTCTGCAGGCAGCAGTGCCTAGGGTTATCATTCACATTTGAAAAATACTTATGAGAAATTGCCATTTCGCCTAAAACCATCAGGCCTTGAGATATCAGTCACCACAACCGGGACTTCTAGCTGCTTTCCCAGTGGCTCTCCAGGCATGAGAAGGAAAGTGGGAACCAGCTTCCTCCTCAGCCTCAGAGGCCCAGGAAAAAAGAATGTCAAAGGTACTGGGATTTTAAGAGTTCAAGCTGCAAGGTCGGTTGGGGCAGTGAGCCAGAGCTAGGAAATTGGTGCAACTTTTGGCACCCCTACTTGGGGCTATCCTGAAGGCTATCAGTGTGTAGAAGGTAACTCTATCCAGAGTTGTCACAGGTCCCTTTGTGGTGGCCTGTGTCCCTCACAAGCCCTTCCTTAGGAGCATATGCAGTAAACCAATCTTCACCTACTCTGAACCTTCTGCAAGGCTCTTGTTGGAAAGGGAAGCTATAGCCCCCCACCCCCACCCCCGACCCAGGTGAACTGGAATGGCAGTGAGGAGCATGTGTGCCGATCTGAAACCATGCCAGCTGCCAGGTACCATCCAGATGGTTATCTGGGGAATAAGAAGTCTCTGTTGCTGGTGTCATAAGGGCTCTGTGGGTCCCTGACACCCAGGCAGCTGTGCCTTAAGGTGCTGTCGGGCCTAGAGCTGTTGTGGGACCCTGCTGAGGGAAGGAGAGGAACCAGTACAAAGTTCCGCTTCAGCTGTCCCAAGGAATATGGCGGGAGAGAATTCGTCTTGCTTTCCTTCCCAGCCTGGGACTTCCATGTCTTCTTGAGCCTTTATAGAAACATACAAAAACAAACACACAGACGTGAGCTTCCTCCCACACCAACGTCGCAGCAGGTGGCTGCCCTGGTTGCTGGGTGTGCCCAGGCTCAGCTTACTTCTGTCTCATTACCAGAGGTCTCCAACAGCCTGAGGAGCTGGTGAGGCTCAAAACCAAGACCACACCTCACCGGCCCATGTACAAAGGGAAAGAAATGTGACTGTTGCTTTATGCACTCCAAAAGTCACCCGGCACTGTGCCAGAGGCTGCCCGCGAGGTACACATCATATCTCTATCATTCACGTAAAAAAAGAGAAAAATGTTCTCTCAGTGGGGAAGGAAAATGGAATTTGGTCCAACTAAGGCTGGCAAGAGGCAGAACATTCACAGCCTGCAATGAATAGCAGAAAACAGGCTGTGCGGTCCCTGTCCTAGGCTGTCGGCACTCCCATCCTTGGGTCTCCATACCCCCCACCCACCCCACCCACCCCACCCACAGTGGAGAGAATGAAAGCTCCGAGGAGGGCACCACTGGGCACGTGTTGACTCATCTGACAGGAAAGTCAATGGTGAGCAGGAAGGAGATAGGCCTCACTCTGATCACAGCCTCCTCGGCATGCTGTCTGGGCCCGAGGCCAGGCTCAGCAACCATGAAAAAGTCGGCTGACAACACAGAGAGCTGAGCTACAGATACAGATCTGCAAAGGTGTTGGGGAGGGGCTATTTCCCAAGGGGCCCCTTGCTAGGAGAGCTGGATCAGGGCCTCCTCTTCTCCCTTTGACCTTCCCTACAGCTGTCCATGGCTGACCTGCTGTGTATGGACCCCCAAAGGGGGAGTAAGGTGACCCCCTCCTCAATTCCATCCCATGCCAATTATCCAAGGAAGGGCTGTGAGGGAGGAGGGAACCCAATGTCAAAACAAAATTTGGGCATTTTCTCGGGCTTTTTGTATTGGCAGATTATTCTAGTTCTTGTTATGATAAATGATTGATGGCTGGCTCTGAATCTGCTCTTGGCTCTTGGCCTACTAGCCAAACAGCACAAACAATCCTTAGAATGTTCCTTCGAAGCAGGAAGAGAGCTTAGCAAGGCAGGAAGGGGAATGTGCCCAGGGGCTGAGTGGAATTCTCCCTGTGAGAGGACACACTGCTACAATGGACTGCAAAGCACTCAGAACCCCAGACCCAAGAATTCCTGTTCTCAGAAAATACCCTAAAAATGACTGTGGTGGTTTGAATAAGAATCCGCCCCCCCAGACTCATATATTTAAATGCTTAGTCAACAGGGGGTGGCACTATCTGAAGGGATTAGAAGGATTAAGGTGTCCTTATTGGAGGAATCGTGTCACTGGGGGGGTGGGGTAAGGTTTTAAAAACCCAAGCCAGCTAGGCTCAGTCTGTTTCTCTCTCTCTCTCTCTCTCTCTCTCTCTCTCTCTCTCTCTCTCTCTCTCTCTCTCTCTCTCTCTCTGTCTCTCTGTGGACTAAGCCTCTGGAACTGTAAACAAGCCCCCAATTCAATGCTTTCTTCTCTAGGAGCTGCCATGGTCATGGTGTTTCTTCACAGCAACAGAACAGTGACTGAGACGATGATATAAACATGGGAGAACTTTAAGCACAAAGATATCCATCACAGTGCTGTTGATAAACGCAAAACATCTTCCAATCCCTGACAACAGTTCACCTGGGCTTATGTCTGTACAGGAAAAGCTTATTGCTAATGAATATGAGGTTTACAAAGAATGTCAAACTAGGCTGAATGTGGTGGTGCGTGCCTTAAATTCCAGCACTGGGGAGGCAGAGATAGGCAGATCTCAGTGAGTTTGAGGGCAGCCTGGTCTACAAAATGAGTTCCAGGGCAGCCAGGACTACAGAAAACCCTACCTTAAAAAAAAAAGTGAAAATACAGAGAATGTGAAATTATTTTTTAAAAGGTAGGATTCAGAGGGCTTTTTATAATTTAATTATATATGTATGTTTCTGTGTGTAGGTCTATGGATAGAGTTACAGGTACTGTAAGTCACCCAGCCAGTACAGGTACTGAGAATCGACTCGGGTCCTATACAAGAACACTAAGTGTTCTTAACTACTGAGCCCAGAATTTAAGAGTATATATATATATATATATATATATTGTGGCAAGTAACAGTAGACCACACACACATACACACACACACACACACACACACACACACACACACACACACACACAGAGGAATGTAGAATTAGAAGCAGAACACCTGAGTTTGTGCCTATGGCGAGGCATCGAGTGCTGATACACTCCTGTTTGGCCCCAAAGTATAAAGCTGTCCCAACCTACTCAAACCCTTGTCTTCTGCACAATCATTGGACAGTTAGTTGGTTCACTACTTTACTGGAAAATCAGTTTGAGGCCAGGGGTACAGCTCAATGTCAGAGTTCCTGCCTATCCCTGGATTTGATTAATACTGAAAATAAGGAAAGAAGGGAAGGATCAAAACAAGAACAGTCTTGGGCTGTGCACAGCCTGATGTCTTTTGCTGTGTTGTCAAGCTGGTTTCAGGGCCACCGTGAGGTCCTCAGAAGAGAGAGAACTCTCTCCCAAAGGCCCTCCTGGTCCTCCTTACCACGGGGCTTCCTTGTCAAAGGACCGGCTTCCTCACTAGACAGTGGCTGTCCTGCCCCCTGCCTCCTGCAGCACCCGACCCAGGACTCAGAGTAGCTGTAGGTGCAGTATGTGTCGTGTGTGATGGCCACGCAAGCAGATGAAAGCTAAGACACAAAGCATAGCACGGAGCCCCGGACCATCTCACCTCACGACGATGAAGACACACAGAAGCAACCCAAACATCAGGCTTCCTCCGGCTACCAGGAACGTGGGCAGTGATATGGAGGAGGGTGCTTGCGCTGAGGCTGTGGGAGGGGGGCATAGAGGGAAGGAAGGGGGGAAGAACAGGGTAGGAGGGAGGGAAGGGAGGAGGGAAAAGAAAGTCAGTCAGCGGGTACTAGAAGCAGATGCCACACAAAACTGCCTGCTTGCTGGCCAGAGCCAGCTCTGAAGAATTGCTGTGCAGACTCCGGTGCACCACTCACAGGGGATATGGGGCTGATCCTCGGCTGGCAGCCAACTCTCAGAGTAGCTTTCCTGGTGCCCAAACCTGGCAGAGGGCACTTGAGAGACAGAGGCTCTGAGACTCCATGGGTAGATCGATCCACTAGGACTGGGTCACTGAGACTCAAGGACTTTCGGCAAGTATTCGGGAGCAGTTTCTCCACTGGGGTGTCTGTCCCCAGCTTGACATTCAAGCTCCAGACACACCATGTCCCTACTCCTGCAGGGCTCTCCACCTGTCCCTTCCTGCCCAAAATGTCCTGTCTCCCTTTGCTGAGCCCCTTTGCTGCGCAGTCCCTAGAAACCTTTATGAATCAAATGAGAGGTCACACTCTTGGCTGGGCTAGTGCAACTGTGCAAACAACGCCAGTGTCTACCTAAACACAGGTCTCCTTCCACGGGTCCTCCGGTTCAGTCTGCAGCGACCGCAAGTTAGCTAACTGGTCAGGCCCACCATTCTCAGGGGCCTCACTGGATCTCAGCAGACGACATCAAATGAGCATATGAAGTAATGGAAGATGAGCTGGTGGTGCAGCTCACGGGTAAAGGTCTGCCTAGCATGCTCAAGGCCCTGGGGTCAGCACTGAACTGCAACGAGTTACCTAAGGCTGTGAGGACTGCTGTTGCCTTTGACCCTCTGCTAGGTGTCCCAGTGAGAGAGCGCTTTCTGCGGCCAGAGGAACACCAAGACAGTAGTGCTTACCAGGCATGCTTGTCGCTTTTACAGAATGTCTGTACAGATTCTCCTCATTGTCGTAGTCTTCATCGGGGACCTAGGAGAGATGGCCCACATCATCAGTCTGCTCCACATTCCTACACACTTCTGCAAAGCCACCACACCTCCTTTCTGCCCCCCAAACCTGTCACCCTGTCACTAGTGTGTTTGTGCATTCACTTTCCCTAGCCAGGTGAAGAGTTCTTTCCACCCATGTCTCTGGCAAAGGTGCAGAGGATATGTTCAGTAAACAAAGCAGAGGCCTGTTGCCAGGTGGTAACCTCCTCCCAACTCCACGTCTCATTGGCCAGCTAGGTGATAGGCAGATCCCTGAGTCTACATAGGCTTAAGTTTGGCTTCTGGATCCAATTTTGAGATTTTATTCACACAGTGGAGGAGGTGTCCAGTGCTCAACTGGTGCCAGCTCCAGGACCTGCCTGGAGCTCCCTGGTCTAAGAGGTGAGAACTCAATTGCCTCTGCCAGTGAAGACACCAAAAAGCCCCACAAGGACAGCCCCCTGAAGACATCCCTTATAGGGACAGCCCTGTGAAGCCTGCATGTGAGGCCCAAATCTCTGCCTCCTTCTCTGAGGTTTGGGGAAGCAAAGGAACAAAGCTTCCAGTTTAGTATTGAGGGAATTAAGGACCACTCGAGGAGATAGAGTTGGGTGGGAAATTGGATTAGTAAAGGAATTTGTTAAGCAGCTTCAGACATAATCCTCTTTTCAATACTTCATGATACCAGGCTGCCACAGGGGAAGCCATGGATAAATTGAATCTGGTCTCAGACCAAGCTGTCAGTGGTGTCCAAACAGCTCAGTAAAACATCAGGCAGATGGAGCTTTACAGTGTCGAGGGACAAGGAACCTGCCCACAGCCACACTCTAGAAGACCCAACTGGTGCTGAAACCAGATTCAGGGGTGGGAGTGGGGTGGGGGGGGAGCAGCACATGTCCTGACCCTTTCCACAGGCAAACTCACCTGCGTGGGGTTCCCTGTGGGAGTGCTCCTGGGCTCTGCGTAGAAAGAAGGGCTGTGTTAGTAACTCATGGACCCTGGAACCCAGTCAGATCAACACAGAGAAACAGAATGAGCCGGTGGGGACGCATCTGAGTCCTAACACCGGGGAGCCTGAGGAGGAAGGAGATCCTGTCTCAGAAATAAAAATATAATCCAAAATGGGTGTTTCGGTTGGTTGGTTGGTTGGTTTGGGGTTTTTCCAGACAGGACAGGGTTTATCTGCATAGCCGCTGCTGTCCTGGAACTCGCCTGGTAGACCAGGCTGACCTGAAACTCACAGAGATCCACCTGCCTCTACTTCCCTAGTGCCGAGATCAAAGGCCTAGTGCCTGGTTGCTGCTGGGCTATACAATGTTATTTTTTCAAAGCAGAATGCTGAGAATAAGAAGCTCTCCTACGCTAGAGGACTAGCTCTGTCTATTGGGACACGGGCACATAAGATAGTAGACTAATGTTTTCAGCTCCACAATGTAAATGCATATCAAATCACCACATGAGACGTAAATGTGGTTATTCTGCATCCACTGAAAATAAAACTTCAGCCTGTAAGCCTAGACTTTGGGAAATCAAAGCCAGCCTGGTCTACACAGAGCATCCCAGGCCAACCTGGACTTAAAAACAAAACACAAAATAAAACTTCCAGGAGGCTAGAGAGATGATGCAGTGGTTAAGAGCACCAGCTGCTCTTCCAGAGGACCCAGGTTTGATTTCCAGCACCTACATGTTAGCTCACAACCCTCTGTAACTCCAATCCACCTGAAGTTCATCCAACTGTTGTCTATAGGCATTGCACACATGTGAACAGGCAGAGGTGTAAGTACAATACCCATAGACATAAAACAAAAATGAAAAAAGATGAGGTGATCTTTAAAAATAAAACTTCAAAGTGTATAGTTTAGGAAAATGTTAAAGATATAATGTATAGGAAAAAGACATTTGCTTTGATTCAAAGTTTCTAAAACTCATGTAAAGGATACATATCACAAGATATAAGCACTATTAACAGTAATTGCTTAAACTATCCTTTTTGCAATAGACTATATGAAGGATCAGTGACTCATGCCTGGGATGGGCAAAGGACACCGTGATAAAGAGGGGCGGGGACAGCTGTGGCAGAGGCCACTCCCTCCTGGGAACTGCTTTCCACAGAAACGGATGAAGTAAGAAGAGGCCCAGAATCAAAGCTAAGCTGGGGCCCGAGGGAACTGGCTCTGACCCGGGACAGGCAATGGGGGTAGATGACTCAGATTTTCTTGTCATCTCATCAGTTTTCCACTAAGAAGTTAAAAATACCACCAAGTGTAAGACATTAAGTATCCCAGACCCAGGAGTAGATAAACAAATGGCTAGCTAAGGGGTGGAGGATAGATAGGGTGAGTCTGTTTCTGCTTGGGAGAGGATTTTCAATGGGCTATGCCATCTGCAGAAGGAGAGAAAACCACACAGCAACACCGGAGGTGTTGAAAAAAGACCCACCCACCCGCTTCACTGTATGAAAAAGGAAATGGGCCCAGAGAGGGAAAGCAATTTGTCTAAGTTCACACAGCAAGTTAACTCAGAAATGAACCTCAAATTGTGGCAAGGACTCAGCATCTCATACCTTTATGCTCCTCCCAGCTGAGCCTGACACGAACAGTTCAGACACCGGGCAGTAGTGTCGCATGCCTATAATCTCAGCACTTGGGAGGCAGATTTCTGAGTTCGAGGCCAGCCTGACCTACAAAGTGAGTTCCAGGACAGCAAGGACTACACAGAGAAATACTGTCTGGAAAAAAACAACAACAAAAAGAACAGAACCAATAGCTAAAACCAAGAGGGCAGCAATGCCCAACCACTGATGGCCATTCAGCCCAGAGGGCCCCCAGATCCAGTTAAGTTCAATATCACATGAAGCCTTTCAGGGCCCATCCACCCTTAATGGGCCTCAGAACCCTGGCCTCATCGAATCCCCCCAGGGTGTGCAAACCTGTTTTGTGATTTCTAAACCACCTGCAATGGCTTGGAACTTACTATGTAGATAGACCAGGCTGACCTTTGACCTTGAATTCAATTTTCTGGAGTGCTGGGATTACAGGTATGAACTGTTGCGCTGTTTCTCCTCATGCCCCCCCCCTTGTTGTTGTTTGGTTTTGAAACAAAGTCTCACATTTTAGCACAACTGTCCTAGAACTCACTGTGTAACCCAGGCTGACACTGATTGCCAGTAGGATGCCATGCCAGGTGTTTTTGCTATGGTTTTGATCTTTGAGACAGGGTCTCAGTCTGAAGCTGAGGCTGGCCTGGAACTCACAGCAATCCTCTTGTTTCAGCCTCTTAAGCGCTTGATTGCAGATGTGACTCAGCACACCTGGCTGGGATCTTTAAAGATGGGGAATGGGCTGGAGAGGCGGCTCAGTAGTTAAGAGCCCTTGCTGTTCTTGCAGAGAACCTGGATTCAGTTCCCAGCAACCAGACACAGTCCCAAATCAGCTGTAAATCCAGGCCCAGAGGATCCAATTCATTTTTCTGACCTCCGTTAGCACCAGGCACCAATGTGGTATACACACACACACACACAGGCAAAACACCCATATACATCACATAAACTTTTAAAACAGTGATGTATGGAGTGCACCAGCAAGACGGCTCAGTAAAAGCCTCAGTCATACAAAGCCAGAAGACTCAAATTCCATCCATAGAGCTTAGGGGGAAGGAGAGAATCAATTCCTGGAAGCTGTCCCCTGACCTCTAAGTATGTTATGTACCTTGGCAAGCATGCCTACCCTCACATACACACCGCATACTGGAAAAAATACATTTTATAAAAATTTAAAGATGGGGGAACAGGCAAGATAACTTTCTCAAAGTTAGTAAAAAGTAGCAGAGCTATTAATTTTGTATATTTATTCCTCTCTCTCTCTCTCTCTCTGTGTGTGTGTGTGTGTGTGTGTGTGTGTGTGTGTGTGTACACGCACACTGATGCACCCATGCAAGTGTGTGGAGGCCAGAAGAGACAGGGTCTCTCACTGAATCTGGAGCTAGGCTGGCAGCCAGCAGAAAGGACGGTCCCCTTGTTTCTCTCCACAAGCATCCCCTCAGCTCCCAAAGTGGCAATTAAACCAAATCTGTCTGCCTCCAATAATGAACATTTTCTAAACGTTTAAAAATATTCACTTTGGATCTGAAGATAACTCAGTTTGACCCTCAGCACTGCATGGGGTGGCACTGACCTGGGGGACACTCCTCTAATCCTCTCACTGGGGAGGAATGGGACATAGGTCTCAGAGTCCTTCCGGGTGAAAGCCAGCTCACAGCCTGCTTGTAAGGCCACTTTCCAGTCACTGAAGCCTCCAGGCTCTGGAAGCCAGGTGCCAGGTTTGGGTTTTTTTTTTTTTTTTTTTTTTTTTTTTTTAGGCAGGTGTCAGTACTCCTAATTGACAAATAACCAAACTGGGGCTCAGTTAGGTACTTCCCCAAAGTCGTACTTGCAAGGGACAGAGCCAGCTATCAGAGCCGAGACAGACCATCTGACTCCCAGTGAGTACTATGTGCCAGGTGCAGGCGATGCAGCGGGAACCGCTGAGGAACCAAACAACGAAGGTTTGAAGAAAGGGCAGAAAAGGCAAAAGGGAAAAAGTGGGGGAGGGCGCCCTGAGAGCGGGGCGGGGCGGGGCGGGGCGGGGCGGGGCGGGGCGGGGCCTCTCAGGGGCTGCAGCCCGGCGGCCCGGAGCCCTTCAACCTGCAGAGTCCCACTGAGGGCTCTGTGCAGAGGAACAAAATCACCTTCCGCCGAAGGACCATGGGGACGCATATTCCTGGGGCACCCACAGCCCTGACAGTTACTGTGGCCTCCTGCTGAAGCCCCCAGCAGGAGAGGAGGTACCGCCAGATTTCTTTCCTACAGCCATCCATCCCTTATACCTGAAAAATTAGTGTGTTTAACAGGCATGCAGGAGTCAGAACTGATGCTGACCTCCAAAGAAAGGACACAAAGCCAGGTATGGTGGCCTGTGCCTGGAATCCCAGCACTCCAGAGGCTGAGGCCAGCAGGCAAGATGACCGACCTAGTGGATAAGAGTGCTTGTCACCAAGTCTGATAGGCTGGAGTTCGATTCCCAGAATACACAAAGAGGAAGGAGAGAGCCAATACTCACAAATTGTTTTTTGACACCACCACCCCAGGGTACAATAAGTAAATTGATAAATATGACATTGAGGCAGGAGGGTCTCAAAGAGTTCAAGGCTGACCTTAACTACCTAGCAAGTTTCAGGCCAGCCTGGGCTACACAGGGAGGTTTTTATCTACAAAAAGTTATACATTTGTTAACTTGAGGCAAGCCACAAGTAATGTCATCTGGGAAAAGGGAACCCAGACTGAGACAATGCCTTCATCAGGTCTGTGGGACACTTTATTGATTAATAATTGATGTGGAGGGGCTGGGCAGGTGGCCAGAAAGCAGGCTGAGCAAGCCATGGAGAGCGAGCCAGGGAGCAGAGTTGGAGATTATTATTTTAAGGTGTGTGACTTTTGTTCACGCTCGCTGCATTTGTTTAACTCTGTGAAGCTGTGTCACTTTGCCTGTCTAAACATCTGATTGGTATAATTAAGAGTCTAATAACAAGCTGAATGACCAATAGTGAGGAAGGAGAGAGAATTAGGCAGGGCTGGCAGGCAGAGAGGATAAATATGCAGGGGGAAATCTGGGAGAGAAGAGGGCCAGGGAATGAGAGAGACAGGAGGAGGGACTTCAGGGGCCAGGCACCCAACCACACAGCCACACATGGAGTAAGAAGGGAGAAAAGGCATACAGGAACAGAGAAAGAAAAAGCCCAAGATAGGTGGGGTAATTTAAGTTAAGAAAAAGTGGCAAGAAACAAGCCACGCTAAGGCCAGGCATTCATAAGTAAGAATGAGTCTCCCTGAGTGGTTTATTTGGGAGCTGGCCCCCAAGAACCAAAAGAGCAAAAACATTAGATACAGAACAGCAGTCCTGCACGGCCTCTGCTGTGGTTCCTG